CCTTGCGTAATATAATTTATATTTTATTATTATTTTTTTCTATTATTGGCACGAGTCTTTATTTTTCACCTTAGCTTTAAGGTCAAGTTTGCCGATCAACTATCAACTCCTAGGGCTGTCGTTTATGGCTTAGTTCAGCGTTCATTATTATTATTTTTTTTCTTTTTTCAATACTCTTTCACACAATGTAGTACCAAATTTTTATGTAAAAATTTTTTTGCAAAAATCGATACCCTTTTCTCATATAACTGCCGATTGAAATCCGCGCTGTAAAACTTTATTTCTTTATTATTCGTATTGATTTTAAAAATTATTATTCGTTCGCTACGATTTCTTTGCTTTTGATTTTACTTCTAACGATTCATAAAAATCGCTTTCATGCACCCGGTACTCTTGTTTTATAGCGCAGAGATCGATCTTACTATTAAAATATAAAATTCCCTTCAAAAACTGAACTTCAACCCGCACACAACAACCACGTTTTCGTGCAAACGCTTGTACACGCGCACGATTTATAATATCTCGATTGCTCGTTCGAAAAACAAGAAAGACATTTCAATAATAAATTCTTAGAAACGATGGACGAAATGGACGTATTTGTCGGTGGTAATCAATAGTGATGAGAATTTTCTTCGCGTCTTCGCACCGATCGATGGACGCTCGAAAGTAAAATTTTATCGACTTCATCGTTTATCAATTAATTTCTCCTGTGAAGAAAAACCGATGCACACTTTATTTACTTTTTTCGACTGATCAAGACTATATTTTTTGTTTTTTTATTATTTTTTTTTTTCTAAACATCTTCGAGCTACGACTATGGAGTTAACATTTTTATTTTATTTTTTTCTTATCGGAAACCCTCTAGTTTTCTAAACAATCACGATTTAGTCTATGTCAACGGTAAAGTCATTAGTTTCTGGGTGTATGTTTGTAACTATACGATTTCTCAGTAAATTTATCATGTGTCACACAATTTTATTTATTGAATTTTGTTTAGATCTGCAAGTTTATCAGTAAAATCATTAAAAAAATTTTGTAAAGATTCAATTATAGAATATACTGAAAAAAGTTTTAGAAAAAACTAACATTCAAGTAGCAATCACCATCGATACTGATATTTATATTGTTATGTATAGAATTTTTAAGAGATAAATACGTTTTTATTGATTTTTTAATACCGTAACATTTTTTATTTCGTTTATATTTGTAGATCATTACTTCAACAATGACTTGATGAATTTCGAATTTTAATATTTCAAAGGCTCAGTATTTTGTGATACTTGAAAAGTTTCAATTCGCAATATTACAAGCTTGTTAATTTAGCTTTTGATATTCATGAATCAAGTATACTTGAATGAGAATAGCCTCTTGGTGTGCTAGTTCGTTTCTCTCGTTATTGTTGGACTCACATGAAAAAATTGATTTATCACATTTATTTGTAACTTTCATAAAAAAAATCCAAAATATTCACAATAATTTTAACTTAGTTAAATATTCAAAAATTCATATAATTGTACATAGCATATTTAGATTCGAGCATAATCTTGTTTGGAGAGAAAAAAAATACACAGAAAAAAGGAGACTGACAACGATAACGCGCTAACATGACATCGCTGTTTCATTTATTGTAACTTTATTTACTTTTTTTTTTTTTTCTTTTAATAATAAACATGTGTATACTCACGAGCTGCGTTTACCTTAACGATAATATCTTTCGACGCTTTTATTTTTAATTCGCGTAGCTAATAATATAATGTTTCACGGGGGATTTATCAAATCCACGACGCACCAACGATCTTTTAATATAACGCTAGCATCAATTCAACTTCAACATCTGTCGGAAAAATATTTATAAAAGATGCAATAATAACTAAAAGTAAAGTTAGGGTGTATATGTATACGTGTAAGTACATAACTCTCACTTTTTTTTTTTTATACAATGTCTCACACGCACTATCTCGCGACCGATTCGAAAAGAATGAAAAATCATTACAAAGCTGCCTATACACAACAACGGCAATCAATGATATCTCCTCGTCGTCGCGCACCATGCACAATTAACACACACACACAGCTCGAGCCCCCAAAAAAACGATAAGAACCACACAAAACAACAACAACAACAACAACAACAACAACAACGGACAACAACGTTTTTCTGCACCACTCGAAAAAAACTCTCTGAATAACAGACAACAAACGTGACACACGCGCTCACACACACACACACACATATATATTAATTGTATTTAAATTTAATTTTTACACATCTCCCAACCACTTATCTCGTTTTCATTTCTTTCGGTCTCTCTCGCTAATACAATCTCGTATTAATTGTTATAAACAGTGACGGTGATCACAATTAAATTTTATGATAACGCAACCAGATGTTGTTTATGTATACATGTACAATCAAAGTCCGAGCGAACTCCCACGCGTTGGCCCTTCGATTTGCTAATGAATTGACAAACGTTATCACCACTTTTATTACAGTGAACTGAACATCGATATTTGCATTATGTTTATTAAGTTTTTTTTATTATTATTATTTTTTTTCTTTTTCAGAAAAGGTTCAGTACTTGTGAGATATAAACCTTTATTATCTTGATATTTATTACAAAACACCTGTGAGTTCGAATAACACATTTCCTTAATGTACACATCAACTATCGTTTGAAAAAAAAAAAAAAAAAAAAAAAAAAAAAAAAAAAAAAAAAAAA